CTAAAGAAGTTACAAAAAATAATTAAAAATAAATTAAAAATTAAAACTGACTATTTAAACCAGAACAGCGACATTCAATAAAAAAATCGCATCCTGGTAGTCGATCGAGAAATGAAAAAAAAAACTTCCTGGATAAATGTCAGAAAATGACATTTATAACTTCAAAATCTAAATTAGGTTTTAGCATAAAAATGGTTCATAGATAAATGCAACAAGTTTAGATTGGAAAGACCGTAAAAATTTTGGGTCGCGAAATTATTTTGGGTCGCGACCGTTATACGCGATCTGGCGCTGCTATAGCGGTCGCTAAGAACAACGGCAAACAAAAACAGAAATAATTTTCTCTTGTCAAAGTCAGAATCTTCAAAAATCGTAATAATCTTTAAAACCCAACCGCCTTCATTAAAGAAATTCGGAAAGTGTTTATATAGCGTCCATTTTCAAAGTAATTATTAAGTTACTTTGTGAGTTTAATTCAAGTTTTATTTTTACCCAAACTGGTGATATAATGGTGAAAAGTGGCATTAAAAACTTAAAGCCGTGCCGTGAACTGTGAACTGCAAAAACCATGTAGATCAAAAGTAACGTCGGCTTCAATGTTTCATGGTGGTATTGGGCGCTATTATTGTGTGTCCTTATATAAAATAAGTTTCTTGTATGCAACACACTTGTATTTTATTTATAAAATTAAACGAAAATAATATTACTAATAAACAATATTTGGCGATAAAATTCCCGAAAGCTTCAAACCGCTCCGAAATTTTCAAAAGTTTTGGGTCGCGACCGTTGCAAGAATAGCGCCAAATAGTGTTTACATTGTCCTTATGGGCACTTTCCAATCTAAACTTGTTTCATTTATCTATGAAATGGTTTTAGCAATTCAATGTGAAAGTCAATCATAAGAATCCGTTAAGTAAAAGGGGTTTTAGTAAAAGAAGAAAAAATAAATTTCAAATTTTGAACCTATTAACTTACATATACAAAAATGTGAAATATGTAATAATAAAAGTCTTGTAATAAATAAAAAAACAATTAATTACGTACGTACTACACTCTATAATAATCCCTTATATCAGTACGAAGTAAATTAAAGGAAAAAAAAACAATTGCTAGACCGCTATACTCTCTAAATGGACATCTAAGATGATTTTCGACTTTTTTCATGTCCGCTCTTGGTCTATCTGCTCGATCTTTTTTATTTCTCTTTTATTACAACGTTTCGAGTCTTTGTCGACCCCATAATCTAAGCTACAAGTCATTTCTGTCCGTCTTTCGTTCTTGTTTGGCTAATTCAAGAGACCGAGTTAACTTATCTGTGGCTACGATCAGTTTTTTCGGTCTTTATTTCTTTTTATTTTCCTTTTAATTCTCGAAGTTCCTTCGAATTTGTTTTTCGTTCGAATTTTTGTGGGTCAATGTTAATTTTGCAGGAAAAAGTGATAATACCGAATATTTTATTCTTCATATATCTATAAGCATCTGAACTTTGGGTCGTTCTCAGGGGTCTGGTAAAGCGGTGTGTGGCCGAAGGAAATACATATGAGCCTCCATGAGGCTTAGCCCGATCCTGTCCACACCCAAAATTCCAAACATACGTGCTTTGTTGGATTAAGGCTTCGATTAAGGCTTCATAAAGGTTTACAGAGCTTTACAGAGCATTTGCCATAAAATAGAGAGCAATTCGTTACAAAACCATACAAATTATAGATCACTGTAATCAAAAAACTTCAATCTATTTCCGTATTGTAGAGGAATTTTAAATGTGTCTTTATTTTCGAGAAAATTTAGTCCAAACATAAGAAATATTTTGTTGATGTTTGACCATCAAAATCTTAAAAATAAAGAAGTTGTCTAAAAATGTGCTACAATACGGATTTAGTATAATCCTTTATCTTTAATTTCCTTCTTCATTTTTGTAAAAATACCTAGCCAGTTTTACATAAAACGTTAAATGCCGAACGCTAATTTTGCTACTTTTCCGGACTAGTGAAATGGGCACTTAAAAATCAGTGCCTAGTAGATGAATATAGAAATTGAAACAAGAAATTGAAGAGCTTATTAAAAGAACAGTTTTCAATGGTAAACACATCTTATCTGCAATGAGTCTTATTTAATTGATAACTATTTTATTACTCCTGTATATACACTCAAAACGCAACGGAAAAGCTGTCAAGTTTAAAATGTTATATTTTTTACTTTTAGCCCTATTTTCCTGAATATTTTAGCACACTGTATATAAATCTATCAACCTTTAATTATTCATAAACTCAGTTTTCTATAAACTTTAGTATTTGGCCATATACAGGGTTAATTGAGGGTTGTTTTTTACCACAAATTTAAAACACCCTGAGCAATAATTTCGTGAGTAAGTTTTCCTAAAACATCTGAGCATTTTCTTTTGGATACATTTTCAACAAATGCCTTGAGCAATAATGCAACTGAACGGTAGCTACCGAT